GAAAACTCAGTCACCCCTCTGATTGGAAATCTGTCCAAATTGTAAAATTCCTCCGACAGGCCTTGACCAATATGGGTCGTCAAAATTCCATTTTGGAGAATTTTTTTCTTAATAGCCTTTAAAGTTTAAAAAGGAGGTTTCGTTAGATAAACCTTGGATTTTGCTAGAAGCTAATGCCTTTCTTCACCAAGGCTTTGAATGAGGTTGCGTTTCAAGCTTGTTTTTGTATGGTTTGTTTCAGATACTGATGCCTGTGCCTTTTTTGTAATAAATTGATTAATTCGAGCTGTATACTACATTCTTCTCTGATTCTGATGCCTTAATCGTTCTACATCATCCTGTTACTAGGGAAAACGACTATGGTATAATGCGGTCTTAGTTTTGGCCAAAATTCATTGATAGCTGAAGCAACACGAGGAACCTCGACATTCCCTGACATGAAAAGGTAATAATTAGATTACAGTTTTGTGCCGTAACGTTAATTGCAACCACCTTTTGTTGCCCTCCTTTTTTTTTTTTTTTTAATTTATTTATTCGATAGAACTTTATGTTACCCTGTGGCTGATGTGATGCTTAAGGAGCACATCGGGCTAGCTGAGGGCAAGCGGGCTGGTCAAACATTCGCTCCTCCACATTTCACTCTACATTCGGAAGTCGGAACTTTCTTTAACCAGGGAAAATTGCATCTTGAACTATTTTTCCAGCGCAAATGCGGAACGCCAAAAGTTGGGCTGAACTCGATTCGTTTACGGCTCTATTTGGAGAAAGTAACTTTAGGTCTTGGTTATATGTTTCGGTGACAACTTAATGAAAATTGATGGAAAACAAATTTCGAGATCCAATTCCATGCATTATTTTTTCTCCATTTTTATCTGAAGTATGCCACTAACTTGCTCAATAAATCACTCTATTTTCTTGTCATCTCAATCATTGGGATAACATACAATCGCATCTCTCATTCCTTTTTCGTAACTTGGACCCGATTCTTGAAATCCTCGAGTGATATGCCCAAAAAACTGGCAAACCAAACTATGAAACAATTTGGAATGGTGTTCACCAAGTGAGATTTATTTAGACACCCTGGTAATGTTCATTAGCGAGTACCAATTTTTGAGTAGCTCAAAATGGGAGCGGTCTGAAAAAGGATCTTAGAGTTGCGAGAAGCATGAAACCTGTTCTTAATGGAGGCAAAGCCATGTTAGACGTCGCACCAATCTTTCTTTACGCAATCGTTCGTTAATCACTCCTTTTAAGCAAGAAATCATGGATCCCGTTTAGTTTTGTTTTTTGGAGGGGTTGAGGGCGGCGAGAATCTTATTCCTCCACTTTAAAGCCAGCTACCCATCTAAAGCAATGTCTTGGATTCACTCTTTCCTTTGCTCCAAGTATAAATTTCTTTTTGATTTGACATTCTCCACGTTTCGCCACTGCTTTTATTTGCCACAAGAATTTATTTGCGCTTTTAACATCACAATTAGCGTTGATTTGCCACAAACATATTCCACTTAGAAAAAGTTCAATTGCGCCGCGCCCTTTCCTAAAATTAGATACTCGTGTGGTTCAACACATGATAGATAAAGGACTCCATCGACATTGGATTCGTGTAAAGAGTTTATTATACGATTAAGGAGAGAGACCCTCGTACAGAAGGCCACCATGCAGAGTTATCTCTTTTTCAAATTTTGTTTTAAGGAGAGGGTGTCAAGTTTGTATAAATACAATTATCATACTGGTTCTTGACAGTGTAATTAAATGAGCAGGTTTAACCTACAAAATAGATTTTGACTTATGGTCATCATATCATCTGTTGAAATTATATGGCGAACGGAGAACCAAGCTAAAAATATATGATGATTGATCCACGATGAATTATTTGGGGAGTTGAAATTATGTGGAAGTAGCTAATACTGCATGCTTTGTGTCACAGATTTGTGACACAAAGTGCATATATTTGATCAGGTACTGTAATATGCAAAGGCTCTTCGTTGGGGGGAAAAAAAAAACGACTGAGAAACAGTTCAAAATGAAGGGAAGAAAACTGAAGTCTACGGGGGGCGCTTTATGCTAGCAACTGTTGATAATAATCACATAATGGAGCAGGCATTGGGGTTGTCATCACTGAAAAGGTAGGTGATTCTCTCTTCAGTTGCGTTTGGGGGAGGAGCAGCTTGTACCACATTCCTCACAAATCCCGCAGGTGCTCTCTTGTCGTAGGCTCCAGTTACATATGGGTAAAACACCAGGTTATGAGGGACATATGGCCAGAACTCTGCTCTTTTTCCAGTGTCTTTTATTCTCTTTAATACTTTATTTGGATCAACGTAGCCACTCACCTTTACTCGGCTTTGCTTTCGATCTACTTCCAGTGTTTTCAGACCTAAAAAATCATCTGAAATTAGTTGGTATATATATCAAACAAGTACAAGCTTACGAAGTAAAGTATGTTTTCGGCTTGACGAAAAAAATATACAAACATGTTTTCGGTTGAAAAGCTTTTTAGGAGTATGTGTTATGTAACAAGAAAATTATAATCTTTAGTGGAGGTGTAATTAATGAAAACATTGATCAACTTGCTAAAAAGGTCAGTCTATATATTGGTCCACATTTTCATATTAAAAAAAAAGGGTTCTCCTCCACCATTAATACGGGATGCACTAGATCCACTTTATGGTATAAAGGGCAGATGAAAGGCATAAATAAGTGGCAATGGATTGAGCATAAAAAAGTGGTTGGATTGCATTCTATCCATACATAGTTATCCAGATCGATCTTCGCCCTCATCTTCTTCTTATGAAAAGAGCCCAGCATATTTGAGCATTTTCTAATAACGAAAGGTTTTTGCAGGGTTTTTACTTGATACACTCAATCTGACTGGCTTGCAAGAAAACATGCGAAACGCATCCTGATGAAAGTTTCGATCGCCTTGTATTACACTCGAAAGAGTGATCCAAGAGATCCGTCAATACTTTATAGGAAATCAAATAGGACTAGCAGTCATTCCACAAAAAGGAAACAGAGAAAATAGATGTTGGTTGCATGTGTGAATCTGAAACTGACAATGTACCAAAAAAGTTGAAAAGAAAATCAACCAGAAAAAGTAAAAAGGAAGAAAAAGAATAAAGCACCCCAGCAAACTAATGACATCTCTTAAATGACAAGAAGTATACACTATTCATTGATCTTCAAATGCATTAATTGAAGATAAGAGAGAGGAAGTTTTCGTATTGGTTTCTTCTGACTGAGGTTTTGACTTACATCAATGCGATGCATCATAGTAACTCAGAAGCAGCAGAAGCTAAACATGTTTTCCTTGGACACACAGAAATAAATTTTTTTTTTAAAAAAAAGAGTGCAATGCAAGTAGTTTTACCTTTCATGTCTTTTACAGCATTCTTCACCCTTCTTTCGCATCCATCACAGTCCATCTTAACCTTAATCTCAACGGTCTGGTTAAGTAAAAATGACAAAAGCAAACATCCCTCATCATTCAGTCCATTAAGTGAAACAGAAGAGCACCAAAACAACAGACGTAAATCTTAAAACCCTGAGAAGCGATTAAGAAGTTAACTATGCGCTCGACGCGCAGGTGCTCCCTAGAAAATTAAGCAGTTACCTGCATTGGTTTCCTCTTGCTTCTTCTTGTGCTGGTGACAGTACAAAAGTTTGAGAGGTAGTCGAGAGCCCCCATTTAATTGTTCTCCTCTGGATATGGAAGAAAGCAAAGCTACCACAGAGAGAATCGAGAAGAAATGGTCAGATATATGAGTGGGCTGGTCTGCGAGTCTTTGGTACCTATTTGCAAGAGGTGGTATTTATACAAGAAGCTCCTAGCTAAGAGCTTTTGGGCTTTAGGCGAAAGGAAATGATATATTCTTTTCAAACTCTCAACTCTGACACTTTCGGGTGCGGAGAGCCTTTTTGAAACTTTTATTTACCTAATTTTGTATTTATTTATTTTTGCAAATTTGCCACTAGAGATGTAAAATTACTTCTTAACTATGTAGTATTATGTACTTCTTCTATTTTTTGCGAACGCTCGAGAACAAGCAGATACATCTAATGCCTCTTGAGATCATGAAGAATATATCTTAGGCGAGAAATTCATGTGAAAAATTACTTAGACTGCACCTCAGGCCTGAAAATCTTCCACCGATTAAGGCCTTGGAATTTGTTTATGAGAGAGCAGACGAAGGAGGAGTACGGTTTATTTGAGTCCCACAAAAAAAAAAACAGATAGAGTGTTAAGTAGCAGTAGAGTATATTTTAGAAAAAGCAAATGGCAACAAGTGCCCGGGAATGATGAGTGGGCAAGAATGCTTTTGGGTTTTGCTCATTTGTTTATGTTGATGTGTTAGCGAGAAAATGGGGTGTAAAGTGCGTTTGTGTTTGCTTTCATTTTCGTTCTATGGGTGTGAGTGACTTTGCTTTTTCCCACTATTTATTTATATGAGTGAAGAAAGACCACCCGATGATTGCTTAGTCCCAAGATTTTTGTTTGTGAGCAATATTAACGATCATTTCAGTTTCACCTTCCTAATGTTAGAGACTGTGTGAATCACCTCTCTTCTCTTTCGAATTTGCGGCTTAATGGAGTTACAAAAAGATGTGTGTTATCACTCACAGATGACTTCATTGCCTAATCAGATGAAGCCTTCTTCAATTGATATAAGCAGCAGCACTCTTCCAATCAGAAGTGAGCGGAATGTGAAATTCCCCACTAACTAACTGCAAGAAAAATTTCAGCTTTCCGATCATCTCATCATTACAAAGTACGGAATTGAAGGGCGGGCGTTTTTACGTTTAGGATACAAAATTATCAGTAACAAATTAAGGGTAAAGCGTAGCTAGCCTAATGCTAAAAAATTATCGTTTGTTTAAAGTACACCCAAGGACAACTTTTACCAGCCGTCCGTTCAGCCACAATCATGGTGATGCGGGCGGGGGCCATTGCAAGAAAAAGAACGATCATTTGTGTCCGATCAGCTAGCCTTCATCAATCCCATCAAGATCAATAGTTTTTTATGGTGTGCTTGCACCCCAAACCAAAACAACACCCTTTTGTAGGTTGTACAGGGCCAACCCCGCAATAGGCACTGCTGGGGAAGGCACAGCACAACTCATCAATTCGGAAGAAGTGCTTGTTTCCTCCTCTTCTCACCTTGTTTACATGCAAAATTAAAGGATTCGAGGGACCAGACAGAACGAGAGAGGAAGCAGAATGCGACATAAACAACAAAATTCAAATGACATTATTCTTACTCCCCTTTTAGGACAAAGAGGAGCCTAAAGGGGTTCTTCTGAGTACCCCATGAGATGAGAGTCAGTCCTCGAAGAAATTCCATTTTATGATTTTATCTCAAGGATAAACTACAAGTAGAGCCCTACTCGGGGACTTTTAGATCCATTTTTCGTAGCCCAGAAGAACAACCAATCTGAAAGGTGAATGTTAAGAAATGGGAAGAAAACGAACTCTTCTTCAATCTTTCCCTCCATTGGTGCAGCAGGTCCAGTCCTTCATATCACAATACGGTAATCTTTTTTAGAAGGGGCTGTACCTGACCAATGCACAAAACCAAAACATATTGATGCTCTGTTCTCGGTGCAAAACAATAATACAAGAATATGATCCCTTTGGTACAAGAACACCAGAATCCTCCGTTCCACATGTATTAAGAAAAATTAAAGACATTAAAACTAACCATATTTTCATTTTTGAGAGGAAGGATGATAGAACTCAATGTGTTTCCTTGTCTACTTCACAACTTACATGGACTGCTGCTCAGCAACTGTAGTCATATCCGCTTCAATTTCTGACCTCTCAATCCATTCCAAAATGCTGACGCATTTACCACCTTTGTACCTGGAAGTTGCACTTCTAGCACCTGCAATGATACAAGATGCTAATCACTGTGATGGCTGCAAGAAGTAGACCAAATTAACGACAATTCCCACCTCCAGTGCCGTCTGTCTGCCACATGGGAATATCAGTGAACCTTTGTTGAAAACCACATCATCAGCATCCCCACTCTGAGCTTTGGCACCATTATAAACTCTTGTTGTGATAATCTTAAGCTCGGTAGTATTAGACTGACCGTTTTGGGGATCCACAATCATGACTTTAGCTCTGGTACCAGGCCAACCTGCAAATGCACGAACCTAGAAGACTATGTGTCATGATTATACAGTAGGTGCAACATGAGGATCAAACCAATACCTTGTTATGAAGGGTTATAGCTTCTTGATCAAAGGATAGCCATGACTCCTTGGGTGTTATCTGTATCGAGCAATCAAAGTAACCCAATATTCATATGTAGGTAAGATGTGTCCCAAGAATCGACCAGAAGAAAAACAAGTATATAATCTCAAATGCAAATTTAATCAACAGGCTACTCATACAAAAATTTAAGCAGCGTAATCCTCATTAACAAATGAAGGGGATAAAAATTGCAGGATATGACCTGCACCATTTTTAGACAAGATCATAAGAAAATTTTGTTGCGAGTTTTGGATCAAATTCAATCCAAAAATCTAATAATCAAGTAGCAGCATCAAATTGGACTTTATTGAAATTCATTTTGTTCATCAGTTGGCAAAGAGAGAAATCAGGTCAGTTACTCCAAGATGAGAGAGAATAGATGAATATCAAGATCGATGTCTCTAAAGAAATCAATTCAACAACTACTTTCCTTGACTTCTTTGAATGGCTGCAAGTATCAGACGCACATCTTACAGGTATCAACTCCAAAAAAATTTGTAAATAATCTGATATTCTTGTGATTATTCCTCAGTTACTTCATACTTATTTCAACTAAGGGATGTTAAACAAACTTCACCTTTGGAGCCAGAGTTGCTTTAGATTCATCCTGCTCTTCTGCTTTTCTTTTAGCTGATCCATCAAAAATAGAGGGAAGCTCACGGAGCAGAAGTTCAGATCCTGAATGTTCCAAGAACTAATGAGTCACCAATACCTTTTACAGTAGGCTAGAAAAATAAAAGCCCCATTTCTCTAAAAGAACAAAAGCCAATTTCTCTAAGCATTCCACTCACTGCTAAACTAACAGAGTCCAGATTGCACTAAAGTCCTGAGAAATATTAATTGATATGCCAAAGATCTCAAAGTGGCATAAATCTATTAAGTATTATATCAGATGAATACTTAAAATATTAATGCAAAGCAGTAGTAGGAGAAGGAATGCACAACACCTACCTTGTGCAAATAATAACTCAAGTAGCTCTGGTGCCTGCAAACGAATCAGTACAAAGTTAGCTGACTTTAAGAAAGCAGTATATGCTAGCCTTATAGAATTACTTCAATTCAGATATAACATACACTCAAGATCTTTTTCAGTCGTGGACGACACATTAATGATTTTCAGTGGTTTGGGAAAGAATATAGATTCATAAGACACTAGAATGAGGAGCTTATATGACATAAATCGAAGGAAGAAGAAAGACTTCAGTACCTTTATTTGATCATCTACATCTATTCTTTGACAAGAAATAACAGGTCCAGCATCCAGTTGACGTACAGTAAATGCTAGTGACACTCCTGTTTCCTTTACGCCATCCTGTTACAAAATTCATTTCATGATTAATAAATGTCTAAATATTAAACAAGTCAGAGTCAAAGTCTAAGTCTAAGAAACTTAACCTCCAATGCTCGCTGAACAGGGGCTGCACCACGGTAGAGAGGCAGCAAGCTTGGGTGAATGTTTACGGTCCCTACAAGAATGCATTTGAATAAGAAAAAGCTTAAATCAAATTCCCCAATTTACAGATTTGATGCAATAAATGAACTGGAAAAATTTTTTGTGCCAAACTATCGTGGGACAGCACTAAAACATTTCTCCTTGCTTCTGGACTATCACTGTAATAACTTACAAATAGTGAACATGTTTCTTCATTTTACTAGTTAAACCTCTGACCATTTCAGTCTATTTTCTCTGCTTCTATTATATGTAGTTGCAACTTTTTACCATTTCACAATCTCATGATTTATTACTCCACCATTTGTTGTTTTGCCCTAAATCTAGCTTGACATACTCTCTTCTCTACTTGTCTTCTTTTCCTTTATACTCTTTTCTTGTTATCATTCAACAATCAGACATTCATCTTATCAAAATTTTGATTTCAACCATGCTCACATACCCATCATCTGTTCGACTTATTCTCCAGGTTCTTATTTTTGTCAGATGTAAATACCAGAAAGGGGACTTTTCTGAAAGTTGTGATAGACAGTTAAATGACAAAATAAGTATTAATTTCTCTTATTTTTGACATCAACATTCCACCAAAGGTCAAAGTACACATCTTTTGCCACTTTCAAGGAATTATTGGTATACATCTCTCCATGGCGTTCACAATTTAGATGTTTAAACTTCTAAAAAACCTGAGATAACAACTTATGCAAACAGGATTTCTGACAGAAAAATCATGATTACTAACCCAGTGATGGAATCTTCAGAACCTTGCTTGGTAAAATATTCCCATATGCAGCAGTAACACAAAGTTCAGGCTCCAGAGACTTGAAATTCTCAAGAAATGATTCCTAAACAAAATAAAGTTGATGGTAAGTTCTCTTATCAAGGAGGGCATTCCTTCAGAAGTGTTAAGCTCAACAGCATCAATAGCAAAGGGAAATCGGGAAATCAACTGAAGGTCTTCATGGCAATGCAACATAGATGTTGAATATGCCAAATATATTCATCAAAAAGTATGCATCTTTTTATCATCTACAGTTGTATAACATCACAGCTCCTCAATTGTTTTTCTAACCAGCCAGAATTGCTAATACCACTGTCCAAGCTACAAAATTTTCTAACTTTCTACATGAAAATCTCCCAGTAACAAGTAGGTGCTTCTTGTACAAGTCATGGATCGCATTAAAGTACAAAAGCATCAAGCATTCGCCAATTGGTTGGTAGGCTATCTACATGAAACAGTACAAGCCCTGGTGCACCTGGTAACAGGCCCTGTCCATGGAAACGAGTGACCACCCCTAATAAACCTTTTTAGCCACCAAAAAAAAAAGGATCTGACTGACAAAGTTCATTGTTAAATATTAACCTGAGGATGTCTGTTACTGCAAAAAGTTTTCTATTCCCTTTCATTCACTCATTCGTAAATGGGCATTCCCCTCTGGGCATGGTTTGAAAGAGCAGAATGCCATTCTAAATTTTTGTATGCTAGTGAATCTAGGATGGAGTACAAGCAGCAATCACCAAGAAATGGCGATCTATGTATAATATATTAGTTGTCAGTGTCGGGCAGCTTGATCCATCAGTGCTTTTAATCGGCTTCCCAGAGCAAAAAATCTCAAATGTGACAGTATACTATCTCCTAATACTTTGGCAGTGGCTTAAAAATTATGCTGCGAAGTGACCATTCACACCCTCAATACAGAATCGTCAGGAAAAAAAAAGGCTGCAACCTGGATGGTTATCATTTGCCCCCAATTTACCTATGTGCGCAAAAAAGTACAAATGTGATGCACTTGTTGCAAACTGCTATAAGATAATTAAATTTCTGCATAACTGCATTAAGATGTTACCTCACCAGCTTTTACAGGTGTGAATATCAAATCAGAGGGGAAGCCTTTGTCAAGAGCACGCTGTGCTACAGGAGAAGGCGTGATCTTTCTTCCTCTATCTCTCCCAGAGGGTGGCTGAGTAACAATTGCAGCAACCTAGAGCATTGCAAATACCAAAAAAGAAAAAAAAGTGAAAGAATCAATATTGATTAGCGAATTCCAATTGCCATGAATGCCTCAAAGCCTATCAGACCATCATTAAAAATATATACACAATGCTAACAAGAGCAAGGAAATATAGAAAAACTAGGATGAGAAGTACGAATCCTAAGGCCAGATACAGCAGTAAATTTCCCATTGATTATAATTATGAACGACCCAGCAAACCATATTTCCACTTGACAAACTGGGAAATTAAATATGAACTTCTACAAGCAGAAGCTAAAATAATCAGTAAAAGAACTTCAACAAAAGCAACATCAACAAAGAAGACGAAGCTTGCTATATCATCTGCTGCATTGTGCAAATTGTAATTTTTCCAACTCTATCGCTTCAAATACTCTACTGTGAAACAACAACCAAACACTGTAAAAGAATGATTCATGATTAAGGGTCATGGAATATAGCTGATGCTACAAACCATTAAAATTCATGACTGGTGAAAAAATGTCTACAAGTCGTACCTTTACTGTAAATGTTCAGCAGGTCACATAAATTTCAAGGAAAACAAGATTACAACAAAAAATTCTGTATGTTTTTTGAGCAGAATTTACTGTACAAAATGACTTAAGCACAAGCATTACACTACAGAATAATGATAGATAAAGCAGTAATACCTCAAATAGGGAATCAGGAGCAGAAGAAGCAGAGAATAAAGCATCAAGAACCGAAGCAGATACCTAGAGAACAAATAACTAATTTACAAAACGTAGGCATTGTAAGTTGTATTAACTATAAAAGCAGGCAGCGAAGAGAAGAGAGAAGGGTATTGAACCTGAGGGGAGCCCAAGAAGACCAGACGCCTTTTCTTGTTAAGGGAAGACAAAGGAGCAGATGCAAAAGAAGAAGAAGCACTAGTGCTGAAGCAGCAAAAGCGTCGAAGCATCATCGCAGAGGAGGACCATATCAATACCATCATCTTCTTCTTTTCCTCCTCTTTCTTGCTCTTCCAGGTTCCGACTGCCGCTGCTTGATGTTTCTCAGAACTGGGCAATTGGACTAAGTTCCTGGTGGGATTTTACGGACCATATTGCAAATGAGACTCATTGGGCTTTCCACGATTAAGCTACAAAGAATACAACCAACAGTCCTGCACCCAATATCGCAAACCGGTAACCGATGTTTCGGGGACGCAAGTAAAGTGAACCCGCCCTGGTCCCTCCCGTAACCTTTTTTTTTTTTTTTCTTGGCAGTCTTTTTTAGTTTGTAAATTAGTTTTTTTTTGTTTTTTTTTTCAATACAAGGTGTATCCCAACTTTACCGACTAATCACCCTGCACCTGAACTACCCGCCCCAGTTTGTAAATTAGTACTCCGGCCGAACAATTTCACAACTGAAATTGTGACTTCGCAGGTCATGCACATGGTTCAATTGAATCGGCGGTTTGTCACCTCAAACCATATGGAGCGTGTTGTTTTGCTTTATACAAGAGCTCATAATATTATCTACTGCTAACAAAAAAAACTTATAAATCTACCATAAAAACTAGGGATAATTTAAGAAACCTCCCCTTAGATTTTTAATAATTTCACTAGCCTCCCCTATATTTTACAAAATCGATGTTAAAGTTTTGATAATAAAATTGGTCCAATTAAAAAAAGTAACATTAAAAAGTACTTTAAGTAGAGAGATGAAACTTTTATTCCATTAATACCCCTCATGCATGTATATATGTTGTATCAGTAAAAAAAATGAAAAATAATTAAAAGTTATAAACAATTAATAAACACATTTTACTACTCAAAAAGTTCACATTCAATAAATTAGATAACACAAATAAGCAACAAAACTACATTAATGATAATAGGATTTAGTAAAACAGACTAGTCATCTTTTTTGACATAATGTTTACTGCAATTCTTGTGATTTTGAAAAGAAAAAATTTTAAAATTTATATTTCTTTTCCCTCCTTTCTCCTTTACTAATATCTAATGATTAAACAATTAGAGCACTAATTAACAATTAGTAACTAATTAACGAAAATAACTGTTAAAATTTTTTTTATCGAAAATGACTTGTAATTACAAAATACATCAATTGATAAATCTAATGACGCTATTTTTGATTGATAAAATTTGACAATGATCAAAGATTAGTTATACACAATGTGAGAAGAAGGGTTTTGGTAGAAAAAAATATAGGTCAAAAGAAGGTTGTTCATGAGGATATTTTCTTTGAAACTCTCAAAGTTATGATAGTTGTAAAGTAATTTCATGGAAGTAATGGAAAAAAGAGGGAAAAATACAAAATTTAAAAATTTTACTGTTTAAAATCACAAGAATCATAACAAAATCATATTAAAAAAGATGATTAGTCTGTTTTGCTAAATATTGTGATCGTTAGTGTAGTTTCATTGTTTATTTGTGTTATCTAATTTATTAAATTTGAACTTTTTAATTGGTAAAATGTGTATATTAATTATTTCTAACTGTTAATTATTTTTATTCTTTTACTGGAATAAAAGTTTCATCTCTATTTTTAAAGTGCTTTTTGGACTAATTTTGTTTTTAAAAGTTTAAAACCTTAACCTCAAGGGAGGTTTTATAATTTTGCAAACTTCATGAGAGACTGGTAAAATTGTTAGAAATCTCAAGGGAGGTTTATCCCTAAAAACTAACCTCGTTTGTTCCTATACCCTGATTCTATACACGGCCCATATCGTGTGAGGATACAAATTTACAAATTGCAAAGGTTAGCCGCTCGCTCTCGCACAACTGCATTTCAATGCTGACAGCCAGAGCGATTCAGTTTTCTGAAGTTTCCAGTTTCTACTGTTCTTTATCATTATTGTCATTTTCAAAGCTATCCATCCACGTACAGAGCTTGAATTGCTGGAAAAGATGTACAAGGGAGAAGAGTAGTAAGAAAAATCTATGAGATTTCAATGTCAAATGGCTTCTTTACTCTTTGCTTTGATTTTTTCTTTCAAGCTGAACAAAAGCATGTACGATACTACACTCACTATGGCTGCTCAATTCTGTGAAGCTGTGCCTACAAATCGCAATCAAACTGCCGCCTTTACTGTCTCTAATCGTCAACCAACAAAAACCAAGCCAAGACCCCACCAGCGCTACCAAGTTAGATGACTCCCTTTTGAGTTCTCGCCGAGTACTAAACTATATATGTCCGCCGGTAAGTGTTACACGGTTTTTACAAATTCTGGGAGTACAATTTCCCACTACTAACATTCCTAGACTGAGTGGTCCGACGAGCACTGACAGCTGGCTTGATTTATAACGTCTACATTGGTCAATCAGCACTTGGACCGTTTGAACTCCGTATGCAAACTTCTACATCTAGCTGCCCAGATGAGCTGAGATAAGCAAAGGGAACTAGAAGAAAGTCCACAGGAGGTGAACCTTCCACCCTGCCTGGGTAATTTTGTGTGTATGACTTCAATCTCAGAGAGCTGCTTCCTCTTTCTGATGCAAGATCATAAAAATATCGTTCCTTAGATAAGCTTGGGCAAATGCAAGTTATCACGAGGTTATGCCCAATGCTTTCTGTCCCCTTATTCAGGAGAAAGAGAACACCATCTTTTTCTGCTTGCAAAACAAGGTGTGTCTCATTCTTGCCCAGTGAAACACAAAGAGGGCAGTCATACTGAAAGCGTCTTCCCGAGTCCCAGTGTTTGCTGCTGAAATGCAGTGACAACTGCCCAGATGACCCAACAAAGTCACAGTTCTTAAGGGGGCAGGCACATGGAGTGTATTTGCAGGCCTCTTCATGGTCATTCCGCATTTCATAATCCACAAGTTCTGTGCATCCGTACTCCACATTTCGACATGCTCTTCTGACTGAATCAGCTACAGCAGTCTCTCCACTGACTGCAGTACCTTCTCTGTCATTAATTGGCACATTTTCCTGATGCAAATAAGAAGTCAATCAGAAACCATCTATACATTGCTGGAAATCATATACCAGATATGTCAGTTGTCTAAAAATTAAACTAGAGGTAAGCAGAACTTGGGGCACTTGTCGAGAAAGTTAAAACAATAATGACAGCAATTCAGGTAAGTGCATAGACAATATAGCATAAAAGATAGCATCCATATCTGCAAATACATTAAGGAAGCCATGATTGTAACTCCCCAGTTATAGCTGCACTCCTCACATTACACCTGCGCCAATAAACTAGAGGGGAAAAAAATTTTGACATTCAGGTTCTGAAACTACAATAAGATTTGAGAGTTGAACAAAAAAAGATAAAATGGTCCTATATTGTCTGCTTCTTACAATGTTTTCCATGTTTAACCAAAAGATAAAAAGTTATGCTCAAGAAGTCATACTGCTACAGTAGAGAAAGGTAGTCAATGCTGAGTGTTATGCTAAAAAGAAGTTCAAAGCACAGCCCAAAAGAATCATCCTAGACTCAGTAGTTCAACCGCAAGGGAAAAAATGGGAAATACCTGCCATTTTTGATGACACAAATATCATATAAGTTAATTTACCATTTGTAGAAATGGAAGAATACACTGGACAACTGGACACAATATAGTAAAAATAACATATCATCCAAATTCAGAGACAGATTTCATGAATACCAAGTGTCCGTCCAGCTCCTGTGCAGGACAATGATCAAACTCAGGTGCCATAATCCTGGTCGGCATGATCTCAGCTTGGCGCTTGTACCCAAGTAGTCCCATCCCAAGGCCTCTCTCCTTACAGACCACCTGCATGTGAATAATAGACTTACAATCTGCAACATAATGTCGAGACTTGTAACAATTAAGCATTGTAAAAAATTAACACCAAATGTCATGTACCTCCCCTGCACCATAACCACCAAGCTCTTTTTCTTGCTTTTCTCTTTCACTAATTTCTTCCTCACCCCAAGAGTATAAGCAAGGAAAAGAAACAGGGGCCAGTTCATGCAATCCTCTAACAGCGACACATTCATAGTAGAAAAGCTGCAAAAGGCTAAATAGTTAAGCTAAGCACTTGAGTATAAGAGGCCAAAGTGATGTTCTATTTTAATTGTCAAACATCCTAACCTGGAGAAACAACAAACAACCACCAACGGCACGTTGCTTCCCTTGACGATAGCGAGCTACCTCGCGAACTAGCCGGTCAAGCAAGAACTTTCCCCAATTATACTGATGGATAACTTCCACATTTGTCAAAAAGTGGAGGAATGTTGGGCTAACATCCAATCTTGCAGTAGGACACAAAAGAGTGCCTAATACATAAAGAACAAATGATCTTTTGAAATCCTCTCCTGCTTCTGGAGCTGCCAATCGCTCTTCTAAAAGGCGCACAGAAATCCCACGATTGGTGGCATTGTACTTTTGACGCAATTCCAAAATTACATCATCAGGACCTGAATTCACCACATCCTTTCCACTAGCTGCTAATCCCATGACAAGTTCCACATCTTGTGGAGTTAGAGGTATGCGCTCACCGCAAATCTCCAAGCTACGTCTCATGGTGTTAAATCTCTCCAATAGCCAAAGGCACAAACTACGCCTAAGAGTTCGGCATCTTAAACCAAGGATGCTACCAAATCCCATGCTTTTCACAGAAGCCTTCTGTTCTGGCGTTAGCCGCTGTATTACATTCAATAAACGACCAGGGGAGCACCTTGTAACCAGTTTGGTCTGCATGAAACGGACAAAATTTTTCTTCCTCAATTGAAAGAGTCCAAGAAAAGTGTACTTCACAAAAAAAAAAAGAGAGTAACCTGCCGTCTTGGTTTAGGAGCCCGGGCAGGACTTGCACTCAAATACTTATCCCACACTTCACGGGCACGAGTAGTGTATTTTTCTTTTTCTTCGGGGCTCATCAGCTTCCAGGCATCTGAGGCAGCTTTTGTGGCCTGAAATGAGCCACACATCATGAATTAACATAACATTCCTAATTTAAATAAAGAAAACTATGACGACATAATATAGCCAGATTCTCACTGTTTTCAGACCCGACGATCCAGGATGTGAAGCACTATACTCCTTAATAAATTCGCGGCTAACAAGTTCCATGTAAATGTTAGTACACCAGTAGAAACAATATAAGGAGACAATGAAGCATTGAAGGCCAAAGTTGTGAAAACTTTACCTAAAATGCACCCAA